TCTTTTGCAGCATCCAAATTCGTCAACTCCCATCGTTCTCCGCATTTAAACCGGCAACTGCGCGTTGGTGGCATTCGCTAGACTACTCGTCTAATCACCGCAGGCGACAGTTTTTCGACTTAAAATCCCTCAATTGGCATTCAAACCCCTAGAATTTCCGAACAATGCCTAAGGAGTTTTTTTCACTGTCAGCCTTTTTTTACTCAGTTTTATTTACTGGCACTGCCACTCTTTTGAAACGTTCTGCTGAACCAATGCATTGCACAGCTGTTCTGTACCAATAGGGAGTTCAACGGTATTTACCTTCATCTCCCTTAATAAAACCTGACCTGACGTCGAAGGTATGCCCGCTTAAATTTTCTACCCCATTTTATGAGCTCTATCGTGCTCTGGTAGTCTGGAACGACAAAGAATAGTCCAGTTATTCAGACTGTCCTTCAGTACAGCCTTTGACCTCGAGTGCTTCTATTCGGGTGAATAAACTAAAGAAAAATCGAGAAAATCTAGGGTATATTAACAACTCATTCGAAAGTATGCGCCCACATTGCAAAATAGAGACGGGATGTAAGGAAAAATATAAAGGGAGCTCTTGTCTTTCCTCCCGACTTTAAAAAAGATAAATAAAGCTCAAAACGCTAAGGGAGAAACTTTAAGAGGGCTGGACGCTACTCATGGTAATAAAGCAGATATCAGGCGGCAACGATTATGTAAGTTGTAATACGATCTGCAACAATCACACGCCGAATGGGCTGACACTACAAAACTCCCGACTGGTCTGGTCCGATGGTTTGCGGCTTATAACCGTGGCCGCCACGATCGTATCCTATTTCGCGACAATCTCTCGAAGCCCCGTAAACAGACCTGCAGCGTTCCTTAAGGCTTTGTGCTCAGTTCGACGCTTTTCAACATCTACATGCAAGAGCTCCTACTCCCTCGGGCACCTGCGAAAGTGGTATCATATGCACGGAGGATGTTACTTTCTTCTGCCGGCACGATCACGTTGATCAGGCTGCGCAGCTCCTCTCGGAGTCTATGTCTGATGTCGTAAACTTCTTCACTCAGCGCGGGAT